TTCGTGCCCCCCCCCCCCCCCGGCACAAATTAAAGCTCTGGAAGAATAGATCCAGGCTGGGCTTCACCCCTCGGGACTTGCAGAGCTGGAGGAACCCCGCAATGTAGGAGTGGCTGTTGGGCGTAAGTTGGCAGGGGACCAAACCAACGAACCTCAAGTACTCCCGGAGGAACGAGTGCAGAGGGAACCTAAGTCCCATAGAAACCGAGAGGACGTGGATGGCGATACACCCCTCGGGCGCCCTGGACAGCACGTCGTCAGGACCTGGGTCCACCACTTCGGCCGAGGGCCCCACGTGCAGCTGAGTCACGTACAGATCTGCCCTATCAGCTTTCGACCTAATCTCGAGGGCCTCAGTGTTCAGCCAACTGTACCCCTCGGGCATGTCCACTGGCTTTCCTTGATCGACGGCCCTCTCCTTCTTCTTGGTAGCGGCCTTCTTCTTCTTCAACCCGGAAACCGCCCTCAGAGGTATCGGATCTAGCGGCCTCGAGCTACTGGCCTCCCCAGAACCCCCCCGGGGGGGGGGGGGGGGGGGGGGAGAGAACAGCGATTGTAACCTTCGAGCTCTCATTCTGCGCCTCATCCTCCGCTGTTTGCCATGCGAGGGCTAAGTCTTCATCCTCGCACTCTTGCTCGAAGCCCTCGGCTTCGACCTCAGCAATGAGTTCCTTCTAGACCTCCCGGGCCAGGGCGGCATCAGCACCGTCCGAAGGCTCGCTCACGGACTCCACATCTGAAGCATGCTCCTCATCAACCGAAGGGTCCCCCGATATGTTTTGGGAATCGCTCTCGGACGACATTCTTTGCCACGAAAAGCACCTAAGGTTTCGAAAGATTTCTACGGGACCCTAACCCTAATCTAAGGCCAGAGGGAGGAACTTACAAAAAGTGCTGAGGGGAAAGCGGGACACTGACCTTGAAAGGAGTTTGACCGAAGGCTTGAGTTTCTCTCTCTAGAATTTTTTGCAGAGCTTCGCTAGGGGTGTTGGATGCGTAAAGGAGGAATGGCCCTGGCTTGGGGTATTTATAGGCTCCCAGATCCGGGCTTGGGCCGAGATCCGGGCTCCCAGCCGCCAAAGCCATCATTACGCACCGTCGTTTCACCCAACCGGTGACGCCCGCCCGCGAGCAGCCAATGGCTACATGCCACGTGTCCCCCCCCCCCCCAATGGCTATAAGCCTGACGTTATATATTCCAACGGCTATATTTCCAACGGCTATATTCTGGAAGCCCCCGGGTTTTCTACTTCACTCCACTTCATCAAGAATAGCCTCCGGGTACACTCACCCAGAAGTGCCCCCGGGTTGTGCCCCACACAGCACATAACAGACGCCTTCGGGATCACTCCTTCAAAAACCCAGGGCTTCATATCAGGGCACCCCTCGGGGATTCCCCCTCAGCACTGCAAAACCGGGTAGCCCCCGAGGAGTTGCCTCATTGACGGATGACCCATGGCACACAGGTAATGGGAGCCCTCGGGTATCTTCATCACCAACTAATCAACAAACAGTGGACCCCCCGGTAACAACTCCATTGCCGCCCTCATCCAGCAGGCCCTCGATCCCCGAATTGAGGGGCTCCCCTTCGGCGCCACCAGGACATCAACAGCAAGCCTTCGGCTAATCAACACAGGAGCCCTCAGAAGAGAGAGCCTTCGGCATTCCCGTCATTCTCCATTTTTTACCAAGGTTTGACATTTTCGATTCATCATTGGGGGAATTCAGTGCACTCTTTTTCCTTCATTAGGATTTTTTTCCCAAAGGGTTTTTCCTAATGAGGTTTTTAACGAGGCATCCCCCCAAAATGAAACGAAAAAATGTCAGCCTTCGGCCCACAACAGCAACGCAACTACTCTACTCCTTTTCACCACTTTACAAGTGCCTCAAGGAGTGGGGGACTGGAGGACCCCCTCGGGAAAATCATTAAAAAATTAGTGAAGTTCCAACAAACGACAAGGCAAGCCCTCAAGTCCCGACATGTGGGTAACTGAGGGACTGCCTTCGGCAGGGACATAAAAGCAACAACTCCTCACCAACTTCAGAGATCATGACGGGACAACATCAAAGGGCAAGCACAAATTACTCCTTTTCCCTCAAAGTACCTTTCGGCAAAAGGAGTGAGAGACTCCTGATGGAGTATATGGCCCGGGAACCCCCGACCCACAGACTCCTACTACTCCAGCGAAGGCCCAACAGGCCCAGAAGGCCCAGCAGGCCCAAATCACAGCGCCCAGAGTACCAAGCAGCCCGCACTACGCGCCAGGGGTGCCTTCGGCCCCCTGGCTTAAGGCTCCAAATTCTCACAGAACGGGTTTCTCAAGCAAATTAAGAAACTGGGAGAAAACGGCGAAAACAGTAGCCCTCGGCACTGTGAGCCCTCGGCACCAGGGTGCCATCGGGTGGAAGAGCCCTCGGCTACTGCTCTATAGCCGAAGGCATCTCACTCGACAAGATATCCGCCTCACATGCGTACAGATCACCGTACCCCGCACAGACGTCCCATCCAACATCCGCATTAAATGCGGCCACATGCGGCTGCCAGCGCCAACCAGTTGAGGTGACCCCTCGGCCAATGAGCGCTTGACACGTGTCCCTTCCCGGCATTTATTGCTACTATAAATAGCACCCCATTTCCTCATTTGTAACCACGCTGAAAATGACATTCATACTGAAGACACTCTCTCTACTTTTACTTACTAGCTCTGACTTCTCTCTAAGTTATTCCCCTTAATAACCCTTCGGATATATACCCCCGGGTAGACTATCCATCAATGTGTTTGATCTTCTCACCCGTTTTCATCTTCACACTGTTAAGTCCGTTCATACTCACTCCATTAGCTACTCGCACTTCTCTCTCCCTCACTGATGGTGAACTTCTTGCAGATGTTACTAAGTATCGAAGTATGGTTGGTGCATTACAATATTTAACTTTGACACGACCTGATATTACTTATGATGTGCATTTAGTGTCTCAGTTTATGCATGCTCCTCGTACTACTCACCTTTTTGCAGTCAAGCATATTTTTAGATACTTACAGGGGACATTGGATCATGGGTTGTGGCTTCAGCCATCCACACAGGCTTCTTGTATTATTGCATACTCAGATGCAGATTGGGCTGGTTGTCCTGATACGTCGCGGTCCACAACTGGTTTTGCGGTGTTTTTAGGGCCCCATCTCATTTCATGAAAAGTCCAAAAGGCAGCCCACCATCTCCAAGTCCTCTACTGAAGCAGAGAATCAAGCTATTGCCTATACACTGTACAAGACACATTGCATATTCGTTCAGTCCTGTTTTAGCTTGGCTACCCGGTTACAGTTTTTGTTCAACTATTTTGTGATAACATATCTGCTTCATATTTGACTGCAAATCCAGTTCAGCATGCTCGAAGCAAGCACATTCAGATAGACTATCATTTTGTCCGAGAACGTGTAGCTCATGGAGACTTAGTTGTGAAGTACATCCCCACTCAATTACATTTAGCTGATATTTTTACTAAGAGTCTTTCTAGTCAGCGATTTCACTTTTTAAAAGACAACCTCCGCGTTGTATCTCCCGCACAATTTGAGGGAGTGTAATAGAATATTACGGAGTATTAGACATATTTGTTTCCTAGTATGTCTTGACCTCTTCTTATTATAAATATACAGACCATGACTCCTATTGGAATACCTTTTCCCAAAATATTCTCACATTCGTTGGTGAATGCTTTAATGTGCAACTTTTTAAAAAACTTGTGATGTACATTGTTGGTTTTTGCACATGAAACATCATATGGGTATCTCTGTAAGTTAATTTACCCTTAAGCCGTTAAATTATCCATTGATGTTTTGTCTTGCTCATGTTGGCAGGCCGCGTACACATTCCTGATTTTTTTTCACCATTAATTTTGCTAATTACCCAATGCCTATTTGCTTAATTAAGTTTATTTTCTCGTTGGGCATGAAGCCTCGCGCAACGCGTATATAGTACCTCTCTGCCAAAATATTTAGTTAAATTCAAAACTTTGACCTATTATACATATTTATTGGAAATTATTTGTAATATAAAAACGATATGAAAATGCTCGTGGTTAATAAAAGTACTTTCATAAAAGTATAAAGTTTATAACTTTTATAATATTCTACTATGTACTAATCAAAATCATGATCCAAACTTTAAGATTTAGCTAAATATTTTGGGACAAAGGTAGTATATATATGAGTTATCCTATCGAGCTGACCTGATAGGATTCCCCATCTGGCCATGGCTATTTGGGGGCCTTCCCAATGGAATTTTTGTATGAAATATTTTGAGCATGGTTTTCATAAAGTGTAGATCGATTATTTCCACAAAATTCCAGCTTCAAATTCAATCGGAAAGTCAATCACATAAGTTTTTGAAACATACTGCGCTTTATGTATATAAATAAAGCGTTGTATGTTTCAATAATTTATTTCACTAACATCTTGATTGAATTTTAAGCTGAAAAGTTTGTGAGCATAAACTAACCTGATGATGAACATGTTCAAAATATTTCATTAAAAAATCGACCAGGAAGCCACTCAAACGGACTTGGCCGGATGACTGGTGTCATCATTATTAATACAACTTTTGTCTTCCAAAAAAATACATACGTAGTACTACCCATTGTTTTTTAAAAGTTGCAACAATTTGACTTTCACGTTTGTCAATGCACAACTTTCACTACAAAAAAGTGAGATTGTCATGGATTTTGTCACGGACCGTAGTTAAAAAAATCTGTGAAAAACAATTTTGTCACGGATGTTTTCCGTGACCATTTGGAGTAAAGTGTGTACATCCGATCTCCTCGAAGCTAAGGTCTGTCACGCAAATTAATAGCTAGTCCGTAAATAGCTTGAAATAATTAGGCATGCATGCGTGGTTGAGACAAACTGAATCCACAAATGACCGAAGGCCGGTTTGTAAATTTGCGCTCATCCATTCATGTTCTTCGCTTCTCTTGTGAATAAATAAGTGGCCGCTGCGTTGATAAGAATGGATCGGAGAAAAATTTATTAGAGCTAGCTAGAAACGTTCGTAAGTACGTAAACATCATATGCAGGTCGATCGATCAAATAGTAAAGGTATAGGTAGCTAGCTAGCTAAGCTAGGTAATTTCATCTATCTATCAAAACATTTATTTATATATATATACAATACGTACGTAGTTAATTAAGATGGTGATGATGATGGGCGGGGGCGCTAGCAGAGTGACCGTTGTTGTGGTACTGCTATTTGTTGAGGTTATGTCAGCGGCGGCGGCGAAGGCATCAGCGGCGGCGGGGGCAGCAGCACCAGCAGCAGTAGGGGGAGGAGGAAAATTAGTTGATTCCCCACCCATCCCTTCCACGAAGGTGGACGTCGAGAGCTGGTTCTCCTCCAACGTGAAACCGCTGGAGAGTCGAAAGGACAGCCTGGACCCGGCGTTGGTGGCGGCGGAGGGGGGCGTGCAGCGCATAAAGGTGAGCAAGGACGGAAAGGGAGACTTCAAGACCATATCGGACGCCATTAAGAGCATTCCGGCGAAGAACACCAAGCGTTACATCATCTCCATAGCGGGCGGGAATTACTCGGAGAAGGTGAAGGTTGATTGGAACCAACCTTTCGTCACCTTGTACGGTGACCCCAAGGATAGGCCCACCATCATTGCTGGAGAAACTGCTGCTAAAGTCGGCACAATCTACAGCGCCACTCTCTATGTCTTGTCTGATTACTTCACAGCCATTAACATCAACATTGTGGTACGTATGTAGTATTTTCATGCATGCATTATTGTTATCCAGCTGCTAGCTATTTAAATACGTACGAGTACTGTATTTAATGCATGCAGAATTCAGCTCCACGACCGGATGGGTTGAAAACGGGACAACAAGCTGTGGCTCTAACCATAACCGGCGATAAGGCCGCATTCTACAACTGTAAACTGTATGGATTTCAGGACACCCTCTGCGATCACCATAACAAGCACTTCTACAAAGACTGTTACATTGAAGGAACCGTTGATTTCATATTCGGGGATGCCAAGTCTATCTTCTTGAACTCGGAAATACATGTGATCGAAGGGAACCGGATGGCCATGATCACGGCCCACGGTAGGAAAAGTGAGAGTGAGGACACTGGATTCTCCTTTGTGCATTGCACAGTCACCGGAACCGGGAACACGGCTGTGCTTGGAAGAGGATGGTTTGACTATTCCAAGGTCGTCTTTACCTATACTCAAGTTAGCGACGCCGTTAAACCTGAGGGCTGGTTGGGATTGCGCAGCGATACAACCAAGGGAGGGTAAGTACATACATACTTCGTACTTCGTCTGTACATATATTCCTCTCCCACCACGCCGGATAGGGAGGGTACGTACTTCCTCCTGTTATTTTTTAGTGAAATTTTTGTATACGTTAATCATCAAGTCTAGTTCATTCACATCAAATTTGAGCAAAAAAATCAATCGGGAAGGCAATCAAATGATTTTTTAAAGATAACTGCGTTTTATATGTATATTCCGGCACAATTATCTTTCAAAAATCATTTGACAACCTTCCTGATTGATTATTTTACCTCAAATTTGGTGTGGATGAACTAGACTTGATAAAGAACATACACAAACAATTTCAGCTAAAAATATCATCGGGAACCACCTCAAATTGAGGTGTCCGGACCACCCTTCTGTGCGGCCTGGCCTGACACGAATAGTACTTTATATACTATGTATGTGTGTCTGTGTGTGTGAAGTGTGTGTATATATATATATACACAATATGTGTATAGGGGAGAGTTCTAATGGGAACCCTTCGTAAAATGAGAACTTTTTATAATGAGAAATTTTAATCTCATCCTTTCATTTATTGCAATCATTGATGATGATTCACATGTGGTCATATTCATAATTAATTACCCCAAATTCAAATGGGGTCTTTTTGCAATTAATGCTAAATAATTAAAAAAATGTCACCTTGTCATTATTATTCATTAACTCTATAAATGAATGATGGAGTTTAAAAGTTCTCATTTTAAAAAAGATTTTCATTTTAAGAGGGGTTCTCACTAGAATCCTCTCCTATATGTGTATGTATATAGGATGCGGTTCCAGTGAGAACGATGCTTAACGTGAGAACACTCACGTTTACTTGTATGTATTTATATATATGTATGTATGTATGAGTGCATGCAGGACAATCTTCTTCGGAGAACACCAGAATACGGGGGCAGGCGCAAGTAATACAGCTCGTCCTTCCTATGTTAAGATGCTCACTGAGACAGAAGTGAAGCCTTTCTTGAGCCTTACCTACATTGAAGCTTCCAAGTGGTTGCTTCCCCCCATCAAACTTTAAAGCCGGCCAATTCAAGCGCTGCGCTTCATCATTAATTAATAAAAACTTTATTACCCGCTTGTATTATATTAGTGATTTGCCAAACAACTACGTACCTACTAGAGTTACTACTAGTGTTAGTTGTTTTGATTGGCTGAGATCACGGATATATACATACATACATAGGAAAATAATATATACTAGCTAGCTAGCTACGTAGTACATAGGAAGTATATAGTTTGTTGTTTTATTTTTTACTACATTTTCAACTCTCGAATTGCAGCTAGCTAGCTAGCTAGAGGTCGGGTCCACTTAGTAAATATCAAAGTATGGTATTAGCAAGCCAGTTTGAATTATTTTAAGTTCAGGGATTTTGTTTGTCATTAACCTAAATATGTTGTAAAATCTTACTTAATATAAACAACAAGACTGAAAGAGGATACAAGGCAAAGAATGGCCAACTGAACACACACACTTTCGTTTATGAACATAGGCTTTTTATAGCCAATTTACGATGAATAATAGCCAAGTAAAGTAACCAACTAACTCCTAAAGTTCAGCCTTAATCTAACGTGCAAAACAGCCCACGTTAATAGCTAACAACTTTAGGAATTATTCAAACAAATAACTAACTCTTAATCTTAATTAACAAATGACTCAAACATGAATAAACACATGAACAAAATATTATTTTAGCATAATCCACGTGAGCAAGCATCTGTAACTAGTCCATGCAGTCCCATGCATTTCTAAAGTTTCAAGCTTGATCGTATTCAACACCACCCCTTGATCCAAGCTTGCACATCCCAATTCTCTTCATAAAGTGACAATGCTTCTCATAATTCAAAGCTTTAGTGAACAAATCTGCATTCTGCCAATGAGTGTCATAGAATTGAAGTGAAATCTTTCCTTTTGACACCAATTGCCTAATGAAATGATATTGCACATCTATATGCTTTGTCCTCGAATGATAAGCTGGATTCTTGGTCATGGCTATGGCAGATTTATTGTCACACCATAGCTCAAGAGTATCAATCTCTTTGCAGCCCAAATCCACCAACAGTTTGCTTATCCAAATAGCTTGTTTTGCTGCAGCTCCTGCAGCCACATACTCTGCTTCAGAAGATGATAGTGCCACAGTATCTTGCTTCTTTGAACTCCAGGTCACAGCTCCAGATCCTAAATCAAAGATTGAGCCATATGTGCTCTTCCTATCATCCACACAGCCAGCCCAATCACTATCAGTAAAGCCTCTCAATTTGAAATCTTTTGTACTTGAATACCATATCCCATAGTCCAATGTGCTAGCCACATACTTTAGGATCCTTCTTGCTGCACCCAAATGCTGTCTTGTAGGATTCTGCATATATCTAGATACAATGCTAACACAATAAGCAAGGTCAGGTCTGGTGTGTGTCAAGTAGTTCAGCCCTCCTACCAGGCTTCTGTACAGCCTTGCATCTGCCTCTCCTGTACCACCATCCTTCTGCAGTTTCTCATTAGTGTTCATAGGTGTTTTTGCAGTGTCACCAGCTTCAACATGGAACCTTTTAAGCAGATTTGATGCATATCTCTTTTGACACAGAAATGTGCCTTCTTTCCCTTGCATGATCTCCAAACCAAGGAAGTAGTGAAGTAATCCCAAATCAGTCATTTCAAACTGATTTGTCATAGCAGTCTTGAAGGTGTGTAGCATGCTTTGTGAAGAACTGACAAATATTATATCATCAACATAGAGGCAAACTACAAGAAAATTCATACCTTGCTTCTGGATGTACAATGTGGGCTCATTTTCACTTCTTTGAAAGCCATTAGAGCAAAATAATGTGTCAATTTTGCTATATCAGGCTCTAGGAGCCTGTTTTAACCCATACAGTGCTTTCTTGAGCCTATAAACTTTATGCTCCTCTCCTTTCTTCACAAAGCCAGATGGTTGCTCAACAAATAATTCCTCAAGCAGATCACCATTGAGAAATGCTGATTTTACATCCAGTTGGTACACAGGTAGATTCCACCTAGCAGCCAAAGCAAGCACAATCCTGATGGTTTCAAATCTGGCCATAGGAGAAAACGTCTCCTCATAATCAACTCCTTCTTGCTGAGCATACCCTTTTGCTACCAAACGAGCCTTATGTTTAGATATGCTCCCATCTGGATGATATTTGGTCCTGTATACCCATTTCAGCCCTATTACATTCTTGTCAGCAGGTAAGTCCACCAATTCCCATGTATTGTTCTTCTCAATTGAATTGAGTTCCTCTTTCATTGCCTGATTCCACTCAGTGTAGGCTACAGCTTCATCAAAGTCTGATGGTTCTGTGACAATTAAGGCAAAACCACAAGATTCATAAATATCAACTAGAGATCTTACCTTTCTAGGCCTCTCACTTGATGAATCATCAGAATCATCATGACTGTCTTCATGATGAGGTTGATTGTTAGGACTAGCTGGATTTGACTGAGGCTGAGTTTGAGATTGATTAGGGATAGGATCAACAGAATCTTCCAGGCTGATAACCTTGTGAACATCCTTATCTTTATGAGCAGAAGCACTCCAATCCCATGTTGCATCTTCATCAAAAATGACATTCCTACTAATGATGATTTTGTTAGTGACAGGATTGTATAACCTATAGGCTTTAGACTGAGCAGAATAGCCTATGAATATACACTTTTTTGTCTTATCATCCAATTTTGCTCTCAGGTTCACAAGAGTGTATGCAATACACCCAAAGATCTTCATATGCCCTACTGAAGGCTTCTTCATCCTCCAAACTTCAAATGGAGTGGAATTTGGCACAGCTCTGGTTGAGGAAATATTAAGAATATACACAGCAGTAGACACAGCTTCTCCCCAGAATTGATTTGGTAGACCCTTAGCTTTCAGCATGCTTCTTGCCATTTCAACCAAAGTGTTGTTTTTCCTCTCAGCCACCCCATTTTGCTCTGGGGTGTAGGGTGATGTGAATTCTCTCCTGATCCCTTGATCAACATAGAATTGCACAAAAGCATTGGAACTGAACTCTCCTCCTCTGTCAGTCCTCAGGGTCTTAACAGGCTTGCCACTTTGTTTTTCAACTAATGCTTTAAATTTTTTAAAGTTTTCAAAAGCTTCTGATTTGTGTTTAAGAAAGTAAACCCAAGACACTCTGCTATAATCATCAGTGATCATTAAGAAATATCTGCTTCCACCTAATGATTCTGTGTCCATTGGTCCACACAGATCAGCATGAAGAAGCTCAAGACAGTCACTTGCCCTCCATGAACCTCCAATGGGAAAGGATCCCCTAATTTGTTTGCCATAGATGCATCCTTCACATAATTGTAACTCACTAATGCTTGGTAGTCCTTTAACAAAGCCTCTTGAGCTTAACAGATGCAGACTATGGATATTTAGATGTCCATATCTCAAATGCCATAGTTTTGCATTCTCTTCACCCTTCACAACAAGGGCCTTATGACATTGCTTAGACAGATCAAGAGGAAACAACTTATTCTTTCCCATTCTGGCTTTTAGTAGAGGCTCATTTGAGTGTGCATCTTTGATTGTACACAGTCCTTCCTCAAATGTTATAGAATATCCACCAGTCACCGATTGGCTTACACTTAGCAGATTATGAGCAAGCTGAGGCACATATTGCACATTTGAGATGGATTTCTGTTTGCCTTGATCAGTTTGAACTAAAATGGTTCCTAGCCCTTCTACTGCCAATTGCTTACCATCACCAAGACTGACAATCCCCTTCTTAGTGCCATCAATATCCTGAAACATACCTTTTATTCCAGTCATATGATTAGAACATCCACTATCAACATACCATACTATGTCACCAATTTGTTCTGGATTATGTTGAGCAAGGAACGACTGCTCTTGTTCAACATAATTGGACCTGTGCTCAGTCTCACTAGGATCTTGTGCTTCTTTCTTCTTCCAGCATTCAGCTTCCTTATGCCCAGGTTTGTTACAATAGTAACACTTAATGAATGATTTATAAGTGTTCTTTGTGTGATCAAACCTGCCATGATTGGATTGATATCTGCCTCTTCCTCTGCCTCTATAGCCTCCCCTGTAGCCTCCTCTTCCTTGTCCTTTTCCACCAAATGTGTTGTCTTGTGGAGATTCTCCTTTGGCCTGAAAAGCCTTTTCTTCATTGGAATCTTCCATCCCATTCTGTCTCTCTTCAAAGGCTTGAAGAGAGCCATTCAGTTCTTCAAATGTATAGGTCTCCATATCCTTAGCTTCTTCAATAGCTGTAACCAATTGACCAAACTTTGATGTGAGGCTTCGCATGACTTTACTCACAACCTGTTTAGTGGTCACTTCTTCACCATAAGTCTTCATTGTTTGGACAATTGATGTGATTCTGGATAAATAATCTTGGACAGGTTCCTTGTCCTTCATTTTGGCTGTCTCAAACTCCCTTCTGAGAGATTGTAGTCGTACAATGATCACCTTTTTGTCGCCAAGGTATTCTTGTTTCAGAGTGTTCTATGCTTCTTTTGATGTAGAAGCTGCTGCAATCCTAGGAAAAATCTCATCATCCAAGGCCAGCTGAATGAGGTAAAGGGCTTTGGCATCCTTCTTTCGTTTCTCCCTTAGTGCTTGGTCTGCTTCTTCTTGTGGATTATCAACAAATCCTTCTTCAATAATTCCCCACAATTCTTGAGATTTGAAGAGTGTTTTCATCTTCAAACTCCAGAAATGATAATTGACTCCCTTGAACTCAGGAAGTTGATTCAATGAGTTACCATTACCATTGCCTTGCATGTTTGATGTGTTTTCTGGTTTCTTGGTTTTCTTTTGTGTGTAGTGATAATCACTCTCAGATTATCCACTCAATCTCACACTCTCACACGGCCAGGGATCACCTATGCTCTGATACCAAATGTTGTAAAATCTTACTTAATATAAACAACAAGACTGAAAGAGGATACAAGGCAAAGAATGGTCAACTGAACACACACACTTTCGTTTATGAACATAGGCTTTTTATAGCCAATTTACAATGAATAATAGCCAAGTAAAGTAAGCAACGAACTCCTAAAGTTCAGCCTTAATCTAACGTGCAAAACAGCCCACGTTAATAGCTAACAACTTTAGGAATTATTCAAACAAATAACTAACTCTTAATCTTAATTAACAAATGACTCAAACATGAATAAACACATGAACAAAATATTATTTTAGCATAATCCACGTGAGCAAGCATCTGTAACCATTCCATGCAGTCCCATGCATTTCTAAAGCTTCAAGCTTGATCATATTCAACAAAATATAGCAGATTATCGAGAAAATCTATCAAGCAAGGCATTACTCTTGAGAGCTAGTCCATATACACATTTCCATTGGAGCTAGTAACACTACAAGAAACTTTGATAACCCGTACTTAAAACATACAAT